CGTGATTATTCATGCATAAATCAGTAAAGATTCAGATTTAGAGGAGATGAAACGAGCGTCGGGAACGCCAACAGGCTGATCATTAAGGAGCAGTGCAGCAATGGTCAAAACAATAGAAAAAATTGGGCTGCACAACTGGAAAACCATAATAATATGAATTACAGTAGATCCAGGTTGAAATGGCTAAAAGGGTTGATAACCAGCAGATCCAGGCTGAAATGGCCAAAAAGGTTGATAACCACAGCACCGACCGTTAGACGTAGCACAGCAGTGAAGCAGCATTTGTTCAAAATATTACAATACACTAGCTATTTTAAGCAGCAAAAACTCTGAGTCGTAGGGGCAAACGTAATTAAACGAGACTTTTGACGTTATACTTGTACCCCTCAAATTGGTACTACTCGGCAAACACATGGCCAAGCGAAAATGCTACGTTTTTTTCACGCATTTAAAATTAGCTGTAAAACTTTTGACAATTTTCAACTATCTTTGGGTCTGGTAAAACTAGTCTAAAAGAACTATAATAAAATTATTCTTAATCATTATCGTTATTCAGCCAAAACAATTCACTTGCCATTATTACCCTTATCACAGTTACTTCGATTATAATAACTGTTATTGTTATCAGTCCGAAAACGACTTATCACCCTTAAGTTACATTTATCAGCGTTTTGTCGTTAACCCCTAGTAAAAAAAGATCCCAGCCCACCTCGTCCTTTGATTTGTTGTTGCGCAACAATTACAACCGGTTCTTCGGGCATTGCAAAAGCCAAACTGAAAAAAATCAAAAAGCGCTAGACTTTATCCAAAACGAAACAATGAATGGTCAAAGTTAACTGATTTAAATTTATCATTAAAAATACGGAGACAACAAGAACTGTAAAAAATAAAAATTAAGTCCCCTCTCGCTACGAAGTATTTGAGGAAAGAACGCATTCGCGAAGTAGTTGATGTGATAGCAAATGCCAACAGCAACCACCCATCGTTATTCTTTTGAAGGTTGCATGCGGACACGCTGATGGCGGATCTGACGACTTCCTGTACCAATTTACCATCGAAACGAATGAATGAATTCTAGAGGGACTGGCTACCCCACCTGCTCAGTCGAAACCTTAAGTTACTACACGATAATAGATGCATAGGAACAAAAAAAAGCATTGTCTTTTTTTCGCTCACCTTTTGCCGATATCCATTGTGGTCTCACAAACTGGCACATAAAAAAGAGCTTTGCCAAGCTTTTTAGTTTTTAGCCTCCTGCAAAATGAGCTCTCATTAACAAATAAAAAATTTTTTGAATACCTTGACTAGCTGCCGTTTTATGGTAAGATATTAAAACCACTATTGAATATTTATATTCAGGGATAGTGGACTTCTTGAATCAGCCATTTCTAGATGTCTTTGGTGTGTGCTGAGCATCACCATCATGCCTTGAAAATTGTCATTCTTAGATCACAGTAAGGTGTCTTACTGACTACGCATATGACGTCTATAGATAACAAATTTTTAAATATCTGTTGGCCTTCCCAACAACAAAAATTTATTTACACAAGCCCCAACCCTAATCGAGATCACATACGCGACACACAGCACAAAAACTCGGGTTCACTCTAACGGATAGGCGGATTGCTGCAATCCTTCTTCTGCGACCCGCAACACGAGGAACTTGATGACCGACGAGCCTTCGAGCTGGCAGTCCTCAACTGCGGCGAGAATCCTGGCGGTTCATCCTGCTAGTGACAGCTACCTGAGCCTACTGCCCTGCGGATTCGATGGAACACCACTGGATTAACCATCATCAGTGCCTTGTATAGACAATTTTCCTGGCGGGTACCTACTCGCTGCCCTGCTCCGTGCTGTCGGTCAAAATAAATTTATATATCAATTTTTTTTAAATCAACGAAAATGTAGCATTATCCGGTGCATCAGCGAAGTAATCAGCAAGCTGAATAAAACAAGCCAACAGTTGCTTAAAAAAAGACACAAAATTGATGAAAATTTTGAAGAAAAAACCTGAAGTATATTTCGTCATCAAAGTCTGGTATATGTTCAGCTCGAGTCCGGACTTCAAC